GCGGCGGCATGCGTCTGGCTGCATGCTCTCTGTGTTGACCAGGTGTGAAAATCATGTCGGCCAGGGCCCCGAACATGGCCCAAACGGTAGTCATGGATTTGTCCTCAAAATCACTTTACTGATATTTTTTTAATTCTGCCACTTCACCTTGACCAATCTGGCATAGAGGACAAGCAAAGAGAGGCCATTTCCCTCTGTTGCAGGAAGACATCACCACCTGAGATAGAGGATCTTCGAGTATTTGCTAGGTTTTTGTACTTCTCAGGTGGTGCCGATGTCTTTGCATCAACAATGCTTCTTAATCAGCTAAGCTGAGGAGTGTCTCAAATCTCATAATGAATCCTCTGGTTCAGATAGTCCGTCTTCGCCGTTCTTATCCAGCTGAGGATCTTCCGGCCTTTCCTTGGCCATCGACCAGAAGATCCAAGAGCTCTACAAGCGGCTGTCACATGTGCGACAAACCTGGATGCGGCGGCTGAACATCATGGGGGAAGCCATCATCTCAAATCCCATCCTGCGTGCGTTGGCAGAGGTTCAAGGGCTTGATCCGTGTGGTGCATTGTGGTGCTGCCTTTTTGTTTTCTGATTCTTTAGAGGGCATCTTTGGATTGGTGCGTAGGTAGATGGGTGATGATGGGTGGATAGGTAGGAAACCAAATCTCCACTCCAGCGATGGCCTCCAACCTAATAGCGATGTCCTCCAACCTAATACCGATGGCCTCCAACCTCACAGCGATGGCCTCCAACCTCATAGCGATGGCCTCCAACCTAGGAAACCAAGTCTCCACCCAGAATTCTTTGCGTCCCAGCGCAGCATTGGGAGGTGCGTCCCAGCTCAGTGCTGGCGGCTCAGCAGCACGTGCCTGGTTTGCCGGCGCTCTTGCATCAGGACTTGGCGCAGGCCGGGGTTGGGGACGGCCCAAAAGAGGAGGAACATTCCAAAAGCATCCAAAAGCCATGGAGCAGATGAACTCTTGAAGTATGTCAGTATGTGTGATAAGGCCATGAACAGCCACAGAAAAAGCATTGAAAAGCATTGAAAAGCCATCGGACTTTCAGAAACAGACCCTACAACCTCCTCAGAAGGTACTTAGACCCTCCTGGCACCCACCCCAGTCCCACCTTCTCAGCAGGTACGACGGGAGGCCTAGGGAGAGGACACTGTTCGCACATGACACATCAGTCCGGCCACATACTCGCGCGCGTCGCACGCCCGCCAAGCTGCCGGTCGTACCGAGACGGTGCAAGCCCGGACGGTGCCATCGGACGGGTTCGGGTCGTCGCTTCGGGTTCGCCTTGTTCTGGGGGCCGGGTGGTTTTCGTTTTCTCCATACCGATGACTTTGATGACTGGTATATAACCCTCTAGTGGAGATTGGTTTGATGATTCCCAAGGGCCAACAGGTGGAGTTCGTTCGGTGGACCCGAAAAAGAGTCCGGTTCTCTACCGGCCAAGCCAGTTCCAGTTTGGTGACGTTCCAGTTCCACCCGGCCGTTCGCAGGTCTTGGAGGCCCTCATTGGGGAGATCAACGGAAGCTGCCGGGAGTTCTCCTTGACGCAATGTGGCGATGAGCGCCTCTTTGGGAATGACCGGGGAGGGCGAGGATGACTGGTATACGCCTGGTAGACTGGGCGATGGTGTCGGTCAGACCGATTGGAGATCTGCTGGACTCCGAACCCGACTTCCCGGCAGGTCCACTCACCGCACTGCTGGGAAGTTGGTCAAGTTCCTACAGACTGGAGTAGACAAAGAATGACAAAGAGACATCACAAGATATATCTTGATGTACGTACTTTGTCTCCTCAAGTCTGCCATTCTTCACGGGATTTCTGTGAAGACACTCGAGTCAGAAGCCGCCACCACGGCTCTCCGCGGTTGACCCGCTGGTGAGACGGAGCGGAAGTGACCGTTTTGCAGGCGTTGGTTTCCCCCGATTGAACTGGTAGTTGTGGGGGTGGTCCTTTTCTAACCAGAGCCCATCAGCTATCGATAGCAGATTCTGACTCCATCTTGACTGAAGATAAAAAAAACAAGCCGTAATGAGGCGTACGAACATTCACCACCTCCAAATGGATGGTTTAGTATGGTTTAGGATGGGTAGCGTGAACATGCACATGTTATACGAGCATGATAGCCTACCCGAGCCTTCGTGTTTCAGGGATCGTCTAGCAGGTGAAGTGGCCGCTCATGTCATACAACGAAATATCGGGCTCTTGGGTGAAAGGATGTGAAACGCCGACCCGAGATCGCTGAATGACATGGAAAAAGACATAGAAAGCTTTTTGAACATCAAACATGCCATATAATAACAGGCAAAGATGTGAACACCACAGTTTTTGTTGCAACGGGTTGTTTGTGCCATCTGTTTTTTTGCTTCGCGGTCTGAACGCAAACCTCTCTTAAAGTCAGGGCCTCTTAAGGTGTGGACTCCTTTTGGCACTCAGTCTCAGCAAAAGTTACCCTGGTTTTGCTTAAGGCGATCTTGTCCCCCCAGAAGACAATCTGAAATACCTTGAAGAAGGGTGGCGAACACCACTCCGAGCGGTTGAACAAAACGGCAAGGGACGTCTACCCTCTGGTCGGACCGCCGCAGGCTCTGCTCGGACCTGCTCGGACCGCGGTGCTGCGCTTCGGCCCCAGGCGCAAGCGGAGCCTCCACGCTGCGGAGCCTCCGGCCAAGGTGCCGTGCACGTCGACGGCCTTATACCGGTCGACAGGCCAGAGGTGTGGGCGGATGAGGGGGGGGGGAATGGCCAAAGAGAAGACTGAATTTAACATTATTCGAAGCTAACAGGTCTTGGAAATGGTCCACGTCCATGAAACCATGGATTCTTCTTGTTGTTTGGTTGTATGGGAAGAAAAACAGGAAATCGGCCAGAAACAAACATACTCTACTCGGTTTATGGTACATCCTCAAACATCGGACGTACGTGTGTTGTTGATTGACACGATCCGTTTCTCGCTCTACAGATTCACATGGTGTTTTAAAGGGGCTGAGCCTGTGTCCCTCCCTTTTCGGAGTGGGAGTGTGTTGTTTTCAAGAGTGTGGGGGAGTGTGGGGATGGGGTGCTGGTCGGATCTGCTTCCGGATTCCGGGGGTCATTTGGAGCTTGGATGATGATTCAGGATTCGTCTCATACTTGGATAGGGACAGCAGAGTTTTCGCTCAGCGGTTGCTTGTGCTGAACCCTAACTTCGTTAAGCAGTTCCCTGGACACAGGGTGTTACATGATGTTCAATGATGACGTTTAGCAGGAGAAGGACTCCGTCAACTTGATCAGGACCTTCAGACTGGGCAACTGATGGCTGCCGAGATGCCGAAATCTGTGCGAGTTCAGCGAGCCACGCCCGGTGCATTGACAGGTAAGCCAATCGTTTGAGGTCGTGGAGAGGAAAATTCCACGAGACCAATCGTGGAGATTGTGAAGAGGCGACTCGTGACAAGAAGGCTACAATCGATATGCTTGAAGAGCATGACAAATCGATTTCAGATGCCTGTGAAGGGAGGAGAAAGCTCTCCTACGCTCTCAGCCGCCTCAAGTAGGTGTCCGGAAACACTTCATGCAATGTGACAAGAGCGTTTGCCTGATCCGGTAAGGGCCATGCCACCGATCATGTTGACTGTGGATATTTATAAACAGCCCCTACCATAATTAGTTTTATTGTACCTGTGGTTCTTTTGAAACGTCTACATTGCGCAACATGCTGATTTTTCACAAAACCCTTCTGAAGTCATCAGTTCTTTCCTCGATTGGTTGGAACGGAACTGACCATGATGGTTCTTCCTGCCTCCTTGAGCTATCTTGACCGTGCGATCCAGTGATTTCGCGCGACCACCAACCACCAACTCTCAAGTCGAACGATGACTCGAAGAAGAGTCCATAAGAGTCGCTGTCGGTCCGCCGGAAGCGGCTTCCTTCTCAAACGGACGAGTCGGCGCCGTCTTGAGGCGTCTCCCCACGTCCTGCGAGTCGGCGTCTCCCCACGTCCTTCGGCGAGGAAGGCGGTCTCGGCGTGTCGGACTCGTCATCGGATGCCTGGCGGTTTGGGATGAAGGAAGGCGACCGTTGGGATGGAAGACAGGAGGTCTGAACAGGGAGAGGGAGACGCACCGACCTCCTGGGTCTTGTCTGAACATAGACCAGTCGTTTGAGATTGGGCCAGGGGTTGAACACTGTTGAAACACACATCCATATTTTGCATGGAAGGCGTGTCGTTTGTGGTTTCGCCGCTGAAATGGCATACAGGTCTCGCAGGTGGAGGACTGCTGGTTTTTTGATTGCGGGTTTTCCTATTACGTAGGAATACCACATGGTACCAGCACATTCTAAATGTTATATCACCCGGAGATCCCTATCTGAGCCATAAGCAATCTCCGGGAGCTTCAGAAACGTGATCGGTCCACTTTGAAGGTTTGGTATACTGAAGGATTCGGCGACAGTTGGAAGAGAAACAGTCCAGTGGTCCAATACAACATGTTTACCCAACTTGGTTTGGTAGCTGGTGCTCCGGAGGGAACTAAGGCTAAGGAGTCCCAAAAATATCCATATTCCTTAAACCCGTTTGGAGCTCCGGGGCGCTAAGTTGCCCCACAACTTGCGCCCCGTTTCGTGCGGCATGCCAGGCAGCGGCCAAAGCGCCGTGCCAAAGTCTGGTGATGAGTCGTGGTCTCAGCATTTTGGGATGACCACCCAGACACGAGACCGGACCCGAGTCCTTTGGAGACATGAAGTGTCCCGAATCCCTCATAGGTCCTGGGGTCGAACAAAGCCCGTTTTGAGGGACCAAAGGCTGGGTGGTGTGCAAGCCAAACGCCAAACGCCCGTAGCACATACCAGGACGATCCTGTCTGGGTGTCCTGGTCCCTAGACTACTATCCGGGATGTCCAGACAGGACACCCAGACAGGATGGTCCGGGTATTTACGGTATCCTCGGCCGTACCTTCCCACTGGGAAAGTGGCGGCAATCCAGCAGTATGAGGACAAAGCCGTTGCGGACATGCTAGCCGAAAAGGTCCAGCAGCCACCTGATGTGGTGCAGACACCGGATCCGCATTATCCGCAGGTTACCCTGAGGGAGCAGTATGATCCAACTGACTTCCCGACCTTCGATCAAGCTTGCCTTGGCTGCTATATGTCTGACGTCAGGCTGAGAAGAGCATCTTACAGGCCAGCACCTCGGCACGGCATGCCTGGAGGCGACTCACCGCGAAGGCGGCCGTGCAGCTGCTGGTGCTGTGTGGACTGCCCAGGCTCATCCCAGTGGTGCGGGGGCAGATTGGCGTGCTGGCACAGATGTGCGTCACTCAAGCAGTGCGCTGAGTGCGACTCTTTGGAGTGCGAGCAGCCCTGAGTTGCATCCGCCCATTGCAGCTCTGACCATGCTGAAGGCCGAGGACAGCAAGCCACAAATGGCGCAGCTTTTGTCAGAGCCCGTTGATGAGGTCCGCCGCCAGCTGCTTTTGGTCGTGTATTGAAGTCGGCATTCCGTGCCTTATCATTTGACAGGTACGCCGGAGTCCTGGCTGCACCAAGAGCTGGACCGGCCACAAAGCCGGCTGTATGCCTTGGACTACGACGCCACCGCCCCTGGAAGTCAAAGACCATTTTTTAAAATTAGTTGATTTGGTTTTGTAGTTTAAAACCGTAAAACAGCTGGTGGTTCGGGATGACCTGGCTATTAAAACAATGGTGGGCCACGACTTCTAGGGAATAGGGTTGAAGCTCGGGGTGGGCCGCGCCTTGGCAGAGAAGCCGGACCAGATGCGGCCTGCTCACGAGTGGGTTCCTGACCATGTTCCGTGGGCCGAGCATTAGCCCTGGGCAC